TCTGGGCTGTCCGGGGGGGAAAGGATCCGGATCTGTAGCCTGGCGGGCTGCTGGCAGGCAGGAATCGGATTGACCCAAGCTTCTCCCAGCTCGTCTCGGGAGCACAGACGCTCAGCGGCCTCACGCGTGTCCTGTCTGTCTGAGCCGGCGGCACACTGGCAGGGCCACTGCTGTCGCCTTGCAAGGCGCTATAAACCCGAGTGCGAACGAACCCCTCTTAGCCGCAGACCTGCACGCCAGCGCCTGGCCCGCCTGCAGCGCAGGTGGGGTCACTGTCGCATCCTGCACCGTCCCAGCCCACACCCCGAGATTTCAGCCTACAGATCCAGTTAAAAGCTGTTCCGGTTCTGATTTTATGTTTTAATTTTGCAAGATTTTGGGCTCCACTTCCCAGAAGTTTAACAGCACAGGCTTACTGACAGGAGCACAGACAACCTCAGACGGCCCTTTCCTGCCAGCTGTTTATGTGAGCGCTGTTTATATGAGACTCGATCAGACACACTCTTTGGCCCCGAAACCTCAAATTCCTCTAAATAAAGCCTGTAATCTCTGTGTATCATCATACCGACGCTGTTGTTGGAGAAATGGAGACCTCAGCCAGTGGGCACAATAATATATATTATATATTATCTTAGGACAAAAAAATGATCAACCACTTGTTTTCAGTGTTGTCACATCTGGTCTCTGACCGTATTCAACAGCGACACCTAGTGAGGACAGGGAGACATAACCACCTCACGCTTTGATGCCGTGTCCTTCAGTAGTTCATGAATCTACAGTAGATCATTTTAAGATAAAGAATAGGCCGTATCTCGAAGTCATGTATTTTCTCAAAGGTCATTAAACTGGCAGAATAAGAAATAACACTTCTGAAAATAAACTAGTGTAACGTCAAAATGCGTTATCTTCACCTGGTATATGTGTGTTTAAAGTGCATGCAGGAACAAATACAGATACAGACATTTACGTTCTGGATCTCAGTAAAGGTTACTAGAATGTTGTGTTTGTAAATAATAGTATTTGGTGAACGAATTGAGCCTGTCGATAAAGCATCATCTATGGCCGCGGAACACAAACGTTGTTTCACAGGCCCTAGTTTAAAATGCATGATGCTATTACCTACAGTACAGTACGTGTGCTGTCCTGCAGCACAGTATGTGCCTCTATAGAGAAAACGGGTAATTATTTAAATAAACACACACCTTCACAAACAGCGCAATATCGTTCAGGCCGCTTGAGCTGTTTGGAGGTCTGCGGGAACAACAGCAAGGGGCGAAGTCGCCTCGTCTGTGCCGTGCTCCTCTTCCCTTTGCTCATCAGCTGTGTGGTCACGCTGTTCCTCCGTTTTTAGCCGCCTCGTCCGGGTGAGTCAGCAGCGCGCAGTCAGCAGGAACCCGAGCCCTTCCGCCCTGATCTTCCAGGACACCGCAGAGCGCATCTTCGCCTAGAAAGCGGGAGGGCATCTTGCTGTTCGCTATAGCACCAAATAAAAACAGACACAAAATCTGCTTTTCGCAGATGAAGGGAGTTTGAAATGACGTAAACAGGCGCCCCCTCCGCAACCCAACAACCGAAAAAAACGGTCCGGCCCGCCTGGCCGCCGGCCAATGAATAATCCCGAACCAATCCCGAAAAGGGGCCCAACAAAACTCAAGTCCTCGCTTCGCGTTTCCGGGTTAGAAACTTCGTCAGGTCTGCGGGGGCTTCCAGCAAACCTAAGATAAGTTTGCTCGGATGTACTGGCAAGATTCAGTTCGTTTATAACTCATTTTAAAACTATGCACCTATCGTTTGTGTAAAGTCTGTACGAAGCGGCTTGATTTATTTCATTAAAGTGTATTAGCCGTCGTATAGGCCTAAAGATATGATTGACTGTAATTAAGTCACAAAGGTATCGCAATCGGCGGTCAATGCATAGTGATATGATTCTGATCACAGCCTCTGCTACAGGCCTAATGGCTCTCAGAGCAAGTGTCGCCGCGGTTGTGCGACCACTGCACGGCCCGGTGCATGTGAGGACTTCGCGCTGCCCGCAGTAACGCGACGCCGGATCTGGCGTTGACGGGTCGTCCTTGGATGTAACGCGATGGCGTTAATGTTGGTGCAGTCTCTCCTGCAACCCGCCCGACCTCCAGCAGATGGAACCCGAGTTGTCTTTAACTTAGCGGCGCTCCTTGAGGTGGGGAAGGACGCCGCGGCACTGAAATGTCAGTAAGTCACCCGGCCTCCGAAGAGGCAGGCCGGTCACGTTTCGATACGAATGATGGAATATTGTTTATGAGCAATCGCGTTCAAAAGTAGAACCTTTATTAAAAAGTAGGACCCTTATGAGCCGGTTTAAAATAAAACTTAAAACGAAAATACCCAAGTCATCAAATAAATCCTGCGGAACAGAGCACTGTGCTTCTCAGCGAAGCAATGCTAAGTCTGATATAATAAGTCTGACTTAAAATAACGCAATTTACCGGACTGTAGTTCCTTCAGGAGCGCGTCAATACCGCTGAAAGACAGCTGTCGGCTGGGGCAGCGCCGCCACCTGCTGGTGGGTTGTAACATTGCAGCCGGAGTCGCAGATATGAATTTATGCACGGACAGACCGATTAATTCTTTTTGTGAAAAGCCAAGCTCTGGAAAATCACTTTTTTTTCCTTAGAAACAGAAGAGAAGGACAAAGAAGACAATTGTGCTTCTAGCCAAGAGGAGGTCACTCACAGAGGAGGCCTTGTTTGTGTTTGTCTCTGGTCTGTGATGTTCAGAAAGGCTGAGGGAGAGGGGCAGACCCCCAGGGTGTGTGGCTGATAACCTGCACGCACCCAGACCCTCCCGGACCACGACTGGACACCTTCATGCAGTGTCAGGGATCCATCTGATGCTTTGCAGATGGAGGTTGGCACTGAACAGACGATTGAACAGACGATTGCAGCCACAGCAGCATCCAGTTACTGTACCAGAAACAGCTGGAACAGCAGAAATCAGAATATTTTGCACCGCCTGACTCTGTGCATTTCATTCTGTGAAATATTTATGACTGATTAGATCAGATCCCACCGAAGACCTCCAGTCACCTCTCTTGAGTTTATGCCGGCTGAAATCAGAGATAATGATGGAAAAGACTCATCCAAAGCTCAGCCAACTAAGTGCCCACACAGTGCAGAACGGCTCCCTATTACCTGACATTCAATACAGACTGATGGGTTAATTTAATGCACAGCTTCCCACACGATGTGCAGAACTAATACATTTATTTGAATGGTTTCTCTACATCTTAATATACGAGATATAAATGTGACACCTTGATATACAGTCAACAGTGTAGAATCTGAATAAATTATGATAATACAACGCACTAGAAAAACCTCTGTTGGGTTATGTAGAATGCAAATTTACAGGGAAGAGAGATATTTTGGTTTAAAGAATGTCCTACTCCGACAGGCTGAAATATCAGAATATTTTGGTCACTAACAGGGAATATTACTAGGGGACATGATTCGAACAATCAAAAACCTCCAAGCCATTGACAAAAGACATAAAGAGGGGACACAAGAAGATGGTAAGGGGAAATGTGTTTAAAATTGAGAACAGGAGACCCTTCTTTACACAAAGGGTTGTGGGACACAGGAACAGGCTTCACAGATGAGATTTTCTGATCAATCAGCTACTAGAAACCTAAAGAGGTTGTTCCAAACTCCCCAAACCCTTTGTGTGAGTACACCTGTGTTCTCCGATCCATGTTTCATGGTCGATTTTAAACACTGCCAATGACTTTGGGGATGGTAAACTGGGTCTCCTCATAATCTTCTCTGTCCAAGACTGAAAAAGTACAGCTCTTACAGCCAGTTGGGAAAGGACGTTCCTTTGAGCCTGGGAATGAATCCGGTTCCTCTTGATTGGACTGATTCCAGAGCGGCGATGTCTGTTCAGTATCATGGTCACTATAATTGAGCACAACATCCTAAATGAGGTCTTACTTGCGCATTGTGCAATTTTAACCCAACACCCGTTAATTTAAATTCTACACGTTTAACTATATATCCCAACCTTCTGTTTGTCTTTTTTTTTTTGCTTTCCCACAATGTTTCATAGACGAAAACGATGTGCCAACATAAACACCTAAGTCTTTTTCGTGGATAGCTTCTTCAAAGCAGCTCATTCAAACAAGTCAGGACCGCAATTATGGTAAAAACCCGTCCATACTTAGTGCTTAAGACGTTTTAACTAGCCAGGGATGGGCCTGTACCGTCAGGGGTCCTGCAGAGTTCACTGTTCCGTGGCACAAGCGAGACTAAAGCGCTTTAGCCTTGCAGGGGACAAATATAGCCTACAGAATTAACCAAATAGCAAAGCTGGAAGACGTGTGATAAAGAGAAATGCGTCCCAGCCGACGGTGCAAGGAGAAACCCAGCCTGTGACCAGCGGTTTCACTACCGTGTTCTCAAAGACGCCTAGCTGGAGAAGCGGCACCTGCCGACTGCCTGCCCGGCGGAGACGCGTACCTGTACGTGTCCACAGACCGGTAAGGGCGTGAGAGACAGAGAGAGGGAGCTCGCAACCCCGTTTCAAATGATCGGGAAAAGGAGAAAGGAAGTTAAAGCACACGTAAGGACAACAATCCGGGGGTGCTTCCAAAGACAGGATACGCTTTCGAGGAAAGTCACATGATTTAAAAAGAAAAACAACGCTTTCTATGCAAAGTTTACGGCTTCGAGTTTCACTGTTGCACCGACAGTCCTGGCAGGACCGGCTTTAGGACCCAGAGACGCGGTTACAGGCGGACACTGGTTGATGTGAGCTTGACTGTTGTGTCTTAGGTCTACAATCGAAAAAGGGTGAGCGAGTGACTGCGACAGGACCGGATAACATAAACCCCACGCGGAAAGAGACCGCCGTGACAGGGCTCGTGGTCGGCAAGCCCGGACAAGCCGCGCGCCTCCGGGACACTGTCCAGCCGCCTCCTCGCGCCGGGTCCCGTCCTCCCCCCCCCCCGGCCCCTCCCCCCCCCTCCCACCCGAGAATTCCTGCGCCCAGCGCGAGACGAGCAGGCGAAGGCGCGTCGCTCCGCGGTCCCGCTGTCTAGTCTCGTCACGGACACGGCACCAGCATGAGCCAGAGGTTCACCGTCACCGCTTTCTCCGGCAAGGCAGAGGGGACCTGGGCTCTGGGCGACGGGAGAGGGGAGATCAATCAGCTGTTCGAGGGCGACGAGTCCAGCCCGGGCTCCCCGGACAGAGACCCCGGCGCCGGCGCGCAGGAGGGAGGTAGATACCCACATTTCTGTCTTTTTGTGGGGGTGGGGTGTGGTGGCGGTGCTGCTCGCTGATATGTGAGCACCTGTAGGCATGACTGGAATCGTCAATGACCGACCGGCGATACGGGATCAATAAGCGAATCGGGGCGAAGCGCCCCCGCGCTCGGGAGCGGGGCAGGGGACCGCGGTCCTGCGAGGAATTATCATCATTATTATCGTGCTTGTCACAGAGATCAGAGCTAAAAGGGTCAGATTATCGCTTTTCCCAATAAAAACAAGTACCATGCCGAGGAAAACGAGTGGCGGCATGAAGCTGCAGGTGCTACGACAACAACCACAGCAGCGATAATAATAATTTAGTCGGGGTAACGCACTGCCGTTGTATCCGGCGCGATATTGTAGTGCTGTCTTACACTTCTGCCGAAGCGGGTTTCCACGAGAATGCCTCTTTTACCGCTCCTTTGTGCACTGTAATTAGACAGTGACTGTCCAGCAGTATTTATTGTGTCAACTGTTGTAGACCCATATCAGCGATTACGATGTGTAGGAAATCACAGGACTGAGCGCGGTGGGCACTGGGGGGCGGGCGAGGAATAGGCAAGAGACCTCCTTCAGACAACCCGGGAGCCTCCTGTTTCTGCCCGTTCCCCGATCGCTGTGTCCATATTGAATGACCCCTGGGGGCGGGGGGGATCATCCCCTCAGCGACCAGGGCCGGAGCCCGGAGGAGGGCGGGTTCCTGAGACACCGGAACACCGGGCCCTCTGCTGCGGGCCGAGCGCGCAACAGGTGGGGGAGAAGTCGACGGTTTTTTCTGTCGTCTCGAAGCACACGCGTGACAGTGACCTTGGCTGTCCCCCGCGGCGCCCTTGCGCGCTGAGCGCCCCTGGGGGTCGGGAGAGAGGTTCTCGGGCTCCGCTGGAGTGGAGAGCTCTGACGGCGCTGCTTGGCGCCCGCCCACCCGGATCAGGTTTATCAGGGTCTGGAAGGGAACAGTGTGGAAACTCCGCCGTTGCCCTTATTTACCCTGGACACGCCCCAGACGGGCTGATTTGCCCCAGGCGGCAGTCCTGTCGCTGGACAGAGCCCTGCCTCAGCCCTGCTGGTGGGGACCCGGCCTGGCCCGGCCTGGTTCTGTCTGGCAGCGCGGGACGGCCGACCAGGAAAATAACTGTTGCCCGAAAATGTGTTACCACCCCCACCCCATCGAAAGACCGACACAAGTGCAGGAAGTTGGACTTAATTGAATAAAAGAAACATGAAGAGCTCCTGGCCAGCTGCTCAGGCACACAATCGTTAAGCTTAATGTCCCGTGCGGAGAGCTCCCCGGACTGGAGCTGTTCCACGGGAACTCAGCGCGCTGGGAGTCAGCCGGTGACTCAGTGTATTTCCCTATCGATCCGCCCGGGCCCCGGGAAAGTCGTGGGGGCGCGCAGGGCGTGCAGCAGCACCAGCGGGGAGGCGCAGTCCGAGGCACAGCAGCCCGCCGCTCTGGTGCCTGCGGGCATGTGCAGCGCTTGAGCAAGAGTTTCCTGCCCAGGGCCCACTTCTGCTTTCTTCGGCCAGGAGCCACTGTGACTGCAGGGCGAGTAACCCGGCTTTGAGGAATCAGAGGGCTGCTGCTGTACTGGCAACCGGTCACTG